CACTGTAGAAGGTAGGCCGTAGAACAAGCTCGCTGGCAATGGTGATTGGTAGTTCTTCAGAGCACTCTCAACGATAGAACCCACGGGGATTGCCGTTCTGGAGGCCTCTATCTCAGCATTGAGCTTCCTTCTCTTCTTCACCACGGCACCGATCTCTTCACATACGACCGTCAGAGTGGCGCTAGCTGCTATAGACACCGAGTTGCCGATCCTATCCTTGACTTGCTGGGAGAGCGAACCGAGTAAGTGCGCCTCCGTCAGACACTCTTTCGCTAATGCCGAGCAGAGTTCTTCAGCGACCGGTGCAGACGGAGCGAGGCGCTTGATCAGCATAGCAACGTCGTCTTTCAGAGCGATCTCTACCGGGGTTGTAGCTGGCTCGCTGACCTCGACCTCGTCTTCATTACTGCCGTTGGTGTTAGAAGGATTGGACATTCCGAAAGTTGACGATGCGTCACAAACTGCGAGAGTCAAGTTTCGTCATTTTGTACACATTGAAACACGGTATACGATCCGTTATCGTTGCCGCATTTCTTCTCGTGTGAAACGCTTGCGCGCACTGCGATTGTGTGCGTTGTGTGGCTGACAACTAACCTTGTCTACTTCGTAAACTCCAAATATATCAGTACGACCGACATCAACCAGAGTACGGATCACAAGATACTAGTGCTTACTCATCGTCAGTTTGGCCGAGTGGTCTTAGGCGCCAGACTCAAGTTCTGGTGGAGAGATCCGCGTGGGTTCGAACCCCACAGCTGACAGTCTATGGACAAGGGAACAATATATCAGTACGACCGACATCAACCAGAGTACGGATCACAAGATACTAGCGATTACTCATCGTCAGTTTGGCCGAGTGGTCTAAGGCGCCAGTCTCAAGTTCTGGTGGAGAGATCCACGTGGGTTCAAACCCCACAGCTGACAGGGTATAGACAAGGGAACAATATATCAGTACGACCGACATCAATCAGAGTACGGATCACAAGATACTAGCGCTAACTCGTCGTCAGTTTGGCCGAGTGGTCTAAGGCGCCAGACTCAAGTTCTGGTGGAGAGATCCGCGTGGGTTCGAACCCCACAGCTGACAGTCTATAGACAAGGGAACAATATATCAGTACGATCGCCATCAACCAGAGTACGGATCACAAGATACTAGCGCTTACTCATTGTCAGTTTGGCCGAGTGGTCTAAGGCGCCAGATTCAAGTTCTGGTGGAGAGATCCGCGTGGGTTCGAACTCCACAGCTGACAGTCTATAGACAAGGGAGCAATATATCAGTGCGACCGACATCAACCAGAGTACGGATCACAAGATACTAGCGCTTACTCATTGTCAGTTTGGCCGAGTGGTCTAAGGCGCCAGACTCAAGTTCTGGTGGAGAGATCCGCGTGGGTTCGAACCCCACAGCTGACAGTCTGTAGATAAGGGAACAATATATCAGTACGACCGACATCAACCAGAGTACGGATCACAAGATACTAGCGCTTACTCATCGTCAGTTTGGCCGAGTGGTCTAAGGCGCCAGACTCAAGTTCTGGTGGAGAGATCCGCGTGGGTTCGAACTCCACAGCTGACAGTCTGTAGATAAGGGAACAATATATCAGTACGACCGACATCAACCAGAGTACGGATCACAAGATACTAGCGCTTGCTCATCGTCAGTTTGGCCGAGTGGTCTAAGGCGCCAGACTCAAGTTCTGGTGGAGAGATCCGCGTGGGTTCGAACCCCACAGCTGGCAGTCTGTAGATAAGGGAACAATATATCAGTACGACCGACATCAACCAGAGTACGGATCACAAGATACTACCGCTTACTCATCGTCAGTTTGTTCGAGTGGTCTAAGGCGCCAGACTCAAGTTCTGGTGGAGAGATCCGCGTGGGTTCGAACCCCACAGCTGACAGGGTATAGACAAGGGAACAATATATCAGTACGACCGACATCAATCAGAGTACGGATCACAAGATACTAGCGCTTACTCATCGTCAGTTTGGCCGAGTGGTCTAAGGCGCCAGACTCAAGTTCTGGTGGAGAGATCCGCGTGGGTTCGAACCCCACAGCTGACAGTCTATAGACAAGGGAACAATATATCAGTACGACCGACATCAACCAGAGTACGGATCACAAGATACTATCGCTTACTCATCGTCAGTTTGGCCGAGTGGTCTAAGGCGCCAGACTCAAGTTCTGGTGGAGAGATCCGCGTGGGTTCGAACCCCACAGCTGACAGTCTATAGACAAGGGAACAATATATCAGTACGACCGACATCAACCAGAGTACGGATCACAAGATACTATCGCTTACTCATCGTCAGTTTGGCCGAGTGGTCTAAGGCGCCAGACTCAAGTTCTGGTGGAGAGATCCGCGTGGGTTCGAACCCCACAGCTGACAGTCTATAGACAAGGGAACAATATATCAGTACGACCGACATCAACCAGAGTACGGATCACAAGATACTAGCGCTTACTCATCGTCAGTTTGGCCGAGTGGTCTAAGGCGCCAGACTCAAGTTCTGGTGGAGAGATCCGCGTGGGTTCGAACCCCACAGCTGACAGTCTATAGACAAGGGAACAATATATCAGTACGACCGACATCAACCAGAGTACGGATCACAAGATACTATCGCTTACTCATCGTCAGTTTGGCCGAGTGGTCTAAGGCGCCAGACTCAAGTTCTGGTGGAGAGATCCGCGTGGGTTCGAACCCCACAGCTGACAGTCTATAGACAAGGGAACAATATATCAGTACGACCGACATCAACCAGAGTACGGATCACAAGATACTAGCGCTTACTCATCGTCAGTTTGGCCGAGTGGTCTAAGGCGCCAGACTCAAGTTCTGGTGGAGAGATCCGCGTGGGTTCGAACCCCACAGCTGACAGTCTGTAAACAAGGGAACAATATATCAGTACGACCGACATCAACCAGAGTACGGATCACAAGATACTAGCGCTTACTCATCGTCAGTTTGGCCGAGTGGTCTAAGGCGCCAGACTCAAGTTCTGGTGGAGAGATCCGCGTGGGTTCGAACCCCACAGCTGACAGTCTATAGACAAGGGAACAATATATCAGTACGACCGACATCAACCAGAGTACGGATCACAAGATACTAGCGCTTACTCATCGTCAGTTTGGCCGAGTGGTCTAAGGCGCCAGACTCAAGTTCTGGTGGAGAGATCCGCGTGGGTTCGACGAGTGCAGAACCCTGTCGACAGCTCAGTGGATCGGTAAAACTAAGAAACCACTCACATGACTTCTCAGACTTGCATGGGTCGCGTTGTAGTCTTTCAGTCTGCTCAGCATCACTTGAGACACCCTTCTCGAGCTCCCGACCTTGTTTTTAGCACCCCTTGCAACTCACTCGTTATATGGGTCGATCTGCAAATGTACGTGAATAGCACGAGCGCGGAGTAATCACGCCTAAAGATTGGATTGCAGGGACAATTCATTGCCAACTGTCTCGTTCCACCAATCTGGTTATCCCGCCTCTGTATTCGCACTCGGAGTTCACTATTAGATCCCTATGCAGGAGATTTTGACACCGATTCATCTGAAAAGATTCATCAGGAAGAATACCCCCTCTATCAGGCGCTGATACCCTTCCGGAGAAGTTTCCCTCAGTTGTGATGCGCTCGCTCTCGAAGCGCCTTCCCTCTTCCAGCATGTCTCTCAGCAGGTTGCATTTATGCAATGAACTGCTTCTCCGTTGATCGCCGATCTGGAACAGGAAGGAGTCCAAGCCATCAACAATTTGCTGTTACGCTGTTGAAAGAAAACCAGTCATAATCCATCTCTGGGATCTCAGCATGTCCATGCGAACCCAGAATCGTGAACGGAATTCGGATATATCTGACGGAGTGACGCAGGTCTCCAACATGTAGAACAGATGGCCCTCAGGTCGAACCTACACATTTTCCCGTGCAAGTTCGACAACTGAGCATGCAAGACTAACAGTATCACAAGCAAGTTTGACCCTAAGCAATCATGTTACAATCAAGATTGACGATGAAGATTCAAGTTTGTCACTTTCCTATACTAACACAAATAAGTCTGACAGTGAGAGTTCATGTTTGACACTTCCTCAATATGTAACAATCAAGATTGGGAGTGAGGATTCAAGCTTCATATCGCAACCAAGGCTGAGAATAGACCTGAAATAACGCACGCATGTTTGACAATACGCATTCAAGTTGACACTAGAACTCAACGCATTGAGATCTGGTTTAAACTGATCGCGATTCTCCGAAGATCCTTGCAAACACCGACCTCGTAGTGCTCATCACGTGCCCACGCACGTGAGGGTCGTCCAGTTACTGAGGAAGTATACAAGCTTCTATGAATCGGAGAAGTGATCGTCGTGAAGAGGTGAGTGACAGAGACGAGCTCATCAGTCAAAGTGTGCTCACCTGTGAGTCAATGCGAGCTGCCAGTCGTAATCCTCAAATACTGGATGTCACTACGCTACGAAGCGCGATGGGAACTATCGTGATCAAGACTGCGATTGACCAAGAACTCGATAATCCTGAAGTCTGTAGAAACGTTATCGGTACAGAGCCTTCATCGTAATGATTGCACTACAAATCGTCAATATCCCGAAAGAAAGCCTTGGTATTCGCTTTCTTCGCGTTCACACTAGCGGTGTTTTTCTGTTTCCCAATCTGTGCCGCTTTCCTCTTCATTTTCTGTCGTTTCGCTCTCGTCAGCTTACTAGCAGCCTCCTCGTCCTCCGACTCTGCATCAGAATCCTTCGTCTCACCAGCAGCCATCTTGAGCGCATCTCCCACTCTCCAGAATTTGATGTGATAATCCTGTCCCACCGTCGCCACAATTCCCTCATCCAAGTCAGCATGCATACTCTCTATCTCTGCAGCCACTGGCTTCCCTGTCGAGACATCTGTATGCCCACCTAGAACGCCTTTCACAGCATTAGGGAAAACGCAGAACACTCGAACGTATCCGTCTCCACCTCCACACACGACGGTTGAGTCGTCAACGGCAATCATGTTGTCCAAGGATGTGACATTCTGCATGTGCGTAATCCTATCCCTAACATCACCCCAGTAATCATAGTTCCAGATCCCCACGACACCGTTCTGATCCCCGGTGAGCAGTTTCTTGCCATCTTTCACTAGACACATAGACAGAAGCTCATTCTCTTGGCTATCGCTCATGGCCTTCAACTTCTGTTTATTATATCGAAGATCGTAACATGCGAGAGTGGCATCACCCGAAGTAGACAGCAACGACTTGCCGTCATTTTCAACGAGTAACTGTGTGATGTAGTCTTCCTGACGGTCTTCATCTGGGAACTTCACAACAACACCTGAATGTG